TTTTATATTTCATCATTCATCTTTTTACCATTCTGTTCCTTTTATATTATACTTTTTTAACACGTGTAAAGACAGCTTAACAGGAACATAGCTGGTACTGAACAGATGCACGATATAAGCTGGGTAACTATCAGGCACTGGTCAGTTTTTGCTGGCTTATTTTTTTGCCATACAGGGTCCTGTGACCTGCATACCAGGCAAATCTGGAATCTTCAGGTCTGATTGATCTTCATGTTACAGCACTAAATATTTATGCACTGTTTAATATTTATGTTGAACATTTTTTTATTGGATATTCCTAAAGTTCTTCTTGAGTTTCCCATATCTTTAGGGAATTTTCCTTCAGATCATTCTTTAGGATTCTTTTGCTATGATTTAAAAAAAGTTTTTGCTATGGTTTTAAAAAATAATAAGCATTTGCATTGGATTGTAAAACCCGAGAAGTTCAAATATTCGCTTTAAATTACAACAAAAATTCCTATTACCCATATAACAATACTCGTTGCTCCCAATCCAGATATTTTTATCCCCTCATTTGGCATCACTGTATGATCTGCTTCAGTTCTAGTTTCAGGCTTTCTTGTTTGTGTTTCTTCCGTTGTACATGGTACTGGCTTGCATTTTTGTGTTAGTGTTGTTACTGATGTAGTTATTTTTGTAGATATTGATTTGCTTGTTACCCATGTGGTCTTTGAATGAAGCGCAACACACTTTCCCTCTATCATTGTAGTTACTACAGTAGATTCCGATTGAGTATCCGCTACAGTTGTTGACTCTGTAAGTGTCGTTGTTGATATAGACGTTGTTACATGAGGCTTGGCATTAGGCAACACAAATTCCTTACATGATTCATGTATTTTCTTACATGAGTCTTTAAACTTAGGACAGTCATCTTCAAAGATACACTCTTGGATAAAATGATTGCAGATGCCCTTGGCTTCCAAATACAACTCTACAAGTAAAGACATCAGATCAAATGCTAATCCTTGACGCACTGATGGCTCTATATCTAGGACATCCTCGCGACGTACAAGTCTAACATAAGCCGTGTTATTGCTGTAAATATTACTACGTACACTAAGGTGATGATTCTGCTTCCCATCTGCTGTTTGAGGAATGGCCAAGAATAAACCAGAATTATTAATAGCTTTTTCAGTTTCTTGCTTGGTTTTTTTAAATTCATTTGCTCTATTTTTTAAGTCCTTAGCAGCTTTACCCAGTTTAACTGGTAAGGTATTGCATAATATTTTCATCCAGCTAATAAGTTTATCACATGTTTTAGCCCTTGTTTCTTTGTTCTCACTATATTCTTTGCATGAATTTTCTAGAGTCTTATTTGAGTGTGCTGATTTTGTACAATAATCATTTAGTTTATTAATGCAAATATTTTTTTCTGTTAAAGAACCTTTTATATTGTACATAAGGGCTTTTAATAGAGGCAATTTTTCGCGAAACACCTTACAGTTCTCCTTAAGAGTCACACAGAGGCCATTTTTGCCGTTATAGCTTTGTTTTAATTTATCAGGACAATTCCCCGTAAGCATATCGCAGTATCCATCCCAAAGAAAACAAATATTATCTCTTTCTTCATCTTCTTTTGATTTTTCAATAACTTTGTGATCCTCCATATTTTGTTGGAATGCCAAACAATGATTTTGCACCTCTTCAGTCATTATAACGCATGATTTGTGATGCACCACACATGTAAGATTGAATGGATTTATTTCCCTCCTAAACCACCGAGGACATTTTCTATTTAAATATGTTGTACAATTATCAACGTTTGCCAAAATATCTGTATTTTTACTCAACAAACTGTCTTTTACTTCTTTCGTGTTCCTCAAATGAGCACAATTCCTCTTTAGTGTGGCACAAGGTCCATTAAGCTCTTCGAAATCCTTTGTCAGGTCTTCGCATTGTTTCTCCAAAACGAGACAATCTTTTTCTCGGGGATAATCTCTTGTTTTATCTAAAACATGCCGCAGACGATGACTCTTTCTTTCTACATCCTCTGCAAGTGCTTCGCATGTCTCTTTTGGCTTTAAACACATTGAGAGAAGATTTATACTGTTGTTTCTGACCACTTTGCATTTTTCTACTAGTTTGTCTATACATTTTTTAGTTCCATCTGAATTTAAGTTGTGAAACAATCCAAACAATCCATCCTCCAATACTTCTTTTGCTAATTTATAAAACTGAGCTTTATAATATGCTACTTTTAGAGCTATACATGCATCTATGAGATCATCATTGCAGTATGATTGGATGTAAGTGCACTTTGAAATAAGAGTGGCGTAACTTTCCTCATGAATGATTTTTGTCAGCCCATTCAAAGTATAGAGTTTAGATCTAGCCTCAGGCTTTATCTTAAAGAGATTTTTTTCTTGAAAAGCTAATTGAAGAGAATTGCATTCTCTTTGGACTTCTTTATCTATTTTTCCACATACTTCAGTACGGTTAGTTCCATTGCATAAATCCGCTAGTTCTTTTGTTAAATATTCAAAAGTGCAGTTTTCTAGATATTTAATGCATCTTTTAGTTCTGCTTTGGGCTGGGTTTGTAATATGGTATGCTAACAGAATAAAATGACTGAATCCTATTGATAAAGATTTGACAATTAAGACACCATGAGATGCAGCCTCATTATAAAGCCGATAAAAACCTATTTCTTCTTGTAATGTGGGCGGAAACTCTAATGGGTTAAAAGGAAGATTGTGGGGGGAAGGATATTTGATATTTTCTTTTTCGCAACGTTTTTTAAGCTCCATACAGTTCTGCATCTCTCCATTTTCACAGTCTCGCGAGTGGAAATAGCATTTCTCGAGTAAAGAGTGACAAACGTTTTCTAATTTATGAGCACCTTGAAATGTATTTTCGATATCTTTTTCAAGAGATTTGCAGTTACTTTTTTTTTTAAGGAGATTTTCACATGTATATTTTTTTTGGAAACAAGACCAGAGTAAATAATAACTTTCTCTATTTAACTTGAAGCATGGTTCTTTAATTTTTTCTTCACATGCTGCTTGATTTTCCAAATTTCTAGGAAGAGCTCTTAAAAGAACTTCATAAGCAAAATCTTCATTTATCTGATGATAACATTGTTCAGCCATAGTATCGCAGACAGTAGAAAAATTAGGAAATTCTCGGAAAAATATGCACTGAACATGAGCATAGTTGCAGTATTTTTTTTCTAGATGAAACCCTTCAGTTGAAATATTTAAAGCAATATCTAGAAGAGACTCATTGGTATTATTCATGAGAATATTAATTTGAGTTTTAAGATCATTGCATTTCTTCTCTGCATTTCCACAAAGTTCTTTTAATGCAGGATGTAGATTTTTCGGAACTAAGTTGCTATTTTTCAAATTGTTGCAGTATTCTTCTAGTTTTTTCTTGCATTGAGAACTTATTGCGTCTTTTCCTAGAATTAAAGTTAAAATTTTTTCTTCGCTGCATAAAAGTGTTAATTTTGTATGTTTTGTTGCTGCTTAAAAATTTTTATACCCTAATGAATCTAATGATAAATCGAATGACAAATCTAATAAATTTTGCGATGGATTTTGTGATAGATTTGATGTAGATTTTTTATGAATGAATTCTAAAAAAAAGTCAAAAACGTGAAAAAAATAAAATATAATACCAATGTTTTTTGAGAAAGCATATGCTATTCCAAGAAAGCTGGCTAATGCAAACACTTTCATCTACAATGATAACAAATAATAATTTTTATAAAAAGTGCTTCATATTTGATATCGAAAAAATATCGTTCTCAATAAAAAGTAGCGATAAACGATAATAATAAAATACAATAAATAAATAGGTAAATGTGTATTATTTTGTATTGTACTTAGATATTTTTACTCTTAGTGGATTTTTACTTTCTAATACTCTTTTTATTATTATTCATTATCTTTTATTTCATTTTTATAGATATAAATAGTATTGTCTTGATTTTTTTTATATCTGTTCTATTTTTTCAATTTAGTTTTCTATGGGTTTTTAAAAAACTTGAAAATATAGCCAAGACTTTCATTATTTATTTTTTATTTAAAAAGCTATTTCATAAATTTATTCATTTTTATTTTTTGTTTTTGGTTTTAGAGTTGAAATGCAAATTTTAGATTATTTATATGGCATTTTTTGTTTTTTTAAACTTTTTGTTGATTTTTCTTATTCTAGAGTAATTTAAGTTGTAAAAATGCTTTTTAAATAATAATTACTATGACTTTTAAAATTTGTTTGCACCTTTGTGTGTTTTAATTTTTGGTTTAGGATTTTTATTTTCTTCTTATTTTGTACAAGTTTTGTACACTTCTAATATTAGTAAATTCCACTATATTGCTTTATTGACTTTAACTTTTTTAATTTTTGTTTTAAATTTTCCTATTTTTTAACTTTTTTGGAATTTAAAAAGAATTTTATATTCATCAACCTTAAAAAATTTAATTCTTTTTAGTTTTTTATGATGTATAAGACATATTTTTTTAAAAAATATTTATAATTTTGTGGATTTATAAATATCTCAAACATTTGTTTTTGTGATCAATTTTTAGTTTATATTTTTTATATTTTTCATAAGTCATTCTGTGTTTTATATTTTTGGCTTTTCATACAATCAAATTTTTAGATATTTCTGTAATACAGATTATTATATTGTATAAGTTATTATTCTAAATATTTTTTAAATATTCTTTTTAAAAATGATAACGGTTATATAGATATTTATGCATTTATTTGAATTTTTTTTAAAATTAAAAATATACATTTTAAAATAAGTAAAATTAAGAGTAAAGTATATAATAACAGTTAATTTTAAAATATGCTTTATAGTTTTATTTATCTTCAAATATCTTTAGAGTAGTATGGGGTAAATTAGGAGTAAATATAGATAACGCAAAAATGAATAAAAAATATAATATAAAAAACATGGCTAGTAAGAAAATGGCTTAGTGAAAAATATAGATTAATTATATAGAGAAAATAGTGTTTTTTAAAAAATTCAATCTAAATTAACACAGTTGATACAGAAAAGACTATTTTTAATTTGTTTTGTAGTTCTTGTCATTTTACTTGCTTATCTATTAAACATATATGCTTTCTTCTAAATTCTGTTTATACATTTCTTAAACGTTCATTAAGAAATGTTTTTTATTAGCGTAAATATAATTTTTTTAATTAGAATTAAGAATGAATTTTAATTTAAAAATTTTTTATCTAACTTAAAATTCTATTAATTTTGAATTAATATTTTAATCTTAAAAAATAAAAATTCAAAAAAAATAAAAAATGTTTGAAACATATTTTTTCTAATACAACATGTTTTACAATATATTTTATGTAAATAATGAGAGCAAATATAAAAGTCTTTATATTATAAATATATAATTTGTTTTTAAAGACTTTTTTAAAAACTAATATTGAATAACTAGTTTAATGCAAAAATATTAAAAATAAGATTTTATTTTTTATTTATTATTTTTAAAAAAATTATAATTTTTAGTTTTAATATGTATATTTTTGTTTATAAAGAAATTCTTTTATGAAAAAACTAACCTATAAAATTATTTTCATTATTTATTTTCTAGATTATATTTATGACAAAAATCAATACTCTACATAATTTAATGATAATGCCTTATGATTTGACCCAGTTCCTAATAATTAAATTTTAGTTTTACTGTTTTATTTTCCATAGTTATTTAGCTTTTAATATTGTTTACGTCCTATTAATATATTCGTAAAAAATAATAACTTTTATAACAACATTATTATCAAAACTGAAATCATATTAGATTAAAAAGCAATAATCCAAATTACATTATGTTTAGAAAATACAATTTATGAGTCAAAGATAAAACTGGTTTAATTTTAACATCAAGCCGACTTGCTAAACTTAGAATCTTTAGGTCTACCATAATTTTTGTGACTATTATAACATGCTTTTTCCAGTATTGTACAATTAGTAAGATCTTTAAAAATGTTTGATAAGCTGTGACATTCATAAAGATAAGTTGCACATTCTGTTAAAGTAGGAGGTTCTGATACATATAGTAAATCTCTTTTTAAATCCTCGTGCCTTGCTGAAAAATCATGAAATAATCTATCAAGTAAGTTACCTGGGAAAGTTATCGAGACGGGGGGGGGGGGGGTAATAGGGGTAGGGTGCAAACACCATCTAAATAAGACCTCGTTAGTTCCTCCAAGCTCAGCACATATATCTAGAATAGGCTGGTGCAACTTAGAAGTATCAGAGGATTGAGGTAGATGAGATTGATTAAAAATGCTAAAATCAGTGAATGGCATTTTTTCTTTGAGTTTTTTCCAAACATTATTCAAGTGAGATCTTTTTATACCCAGCGTATAACATAGAGCTTTTACATTTTCACATCGACTTTTAATACCAAGACAGGCATGTTCAAAATAAGTGCATTCTTCCATTAACATTTGACATTGAGGTGTAGTGATATTGTTTGCTGTGCTGTTCCATAGTATAGTCCAAACACCATTTGCAGAAGCAAGACCTAAATCATCATATGTTTTGTTTAAATTGACACATGTTTCATTGACCTTTGTATCCAATCTTTCACACTCATCAGTTCGTCTACTTTGACAATATGCATCAAGATTAGGAAATATATGTTGATGACTAGTACAATCATATTCAAGAAACTTTTTACATTTTTCCTCTAAACTGGAACCATGTCTTATTAAGGATGTCCCAAATATTATAAGAAGAGTAAGATATGGATTTTTATAAGGTAGTGAAACGCTATTTTCTCTTTCGTTAGAAAAAAATAAAGTCAAATTTACGTTTTCAAATGCCGATCTACATTCTCCTAAAGAAATGTTGTTTATAAACAGCATATCTGGATCAATTTTTTTAGTACATTCTTTTATTATTAAGTTGCAAAGATTCTTTGTTGTCTGGGTATGACAATGTAATAACATATATTGCTCGCAAACATCAAGCAATGAGCAATTATTTCTTGCTATATCTTTTGTATAGCCTGTAATATGGAGCTCCTCTGAGAGAAATTCTTTAATATAATAATCAAAACATCGACAAGTAAAAATAACACTTTGAGCAAAGTGTTTACATGTATCCTGTATTTCAAAACAAGATTTTACCATAGTAGGCCCAAAAGAGGTTACACAATGACATTTATCAAGAAGACTGTCAACACATTGACTATATTCTTCAGATTCATCATGTTTTAGATTATTACGTGTTAGTTCACTATTTATTATTTTTTCACCTATAAATTTCAATAATACGCTATTTTCATTATCTTTTGTATATTTTTTATAACAAAGTCCATTAAATCTAGCACATAAATCGCCAATTAAATTATGACAAATTCTTTGAAAAACTGCACATAACGTTCCATAATTTTCACAGTGCTCTGCTTCTATTTTTGTATTCTTTGTTCCCAGAAATAAATCTTCACCTAAATGGTAGTAATATTTGAGCTTATCCTTTATACCATTACATTTTTTATGTAAGTCATTCTTAATATAACCCTCAGTAAAGAGACCTTTGCAATATTTATTTATTTTATCACTATCGCATAACTTCTTTAGTATATCAGTAAAATTTCCTTCTGGTAGCTTTTTTAGGAGTCTTTGACATAAATATTCTAAATATAATTTACATTGTCCTTCAGTTGTGATAGAATCTTCTAAGATAAGACTATACATAGAAACTTCATCGTCTAAAACAATAAACCATGCGGATGAAGATAGTAAGTGTTTTGATAAGAAATCAGTTGATTTAGGATATATTGATGGGCCATAACTCCTAATTTTTTTTGAAGTAAATAAATTTAAGTTTTCTTTTGGTTCTAAAAGATAAAAATTTAAAAAAAAAAAACGAAAAAGAATAAAAATACCATAAGTATTAATGCCTTTTGAAAAAGCATACGATATTGTGCTTAAAATCACAAAGATAACAAAAACAAAAGTCTTCATTTAGAGAGATGATATGCTTCAGTTGTTTCCATTATGAATTTAGTATTAATATTATTAAATTTGGTTTCAGATTTTAGAATAAAAATACAGATTATTGGATGTTAAATTATTGGTATTATCTTTAATTTTAGTTTCCTAATTAGTTACAATATTTTTATAAAAATATAAAAAAATTTGATTTTTTACAAAAGTTATAGTATGAAAAATATAACACTAAATATAACTTAAACTGCATTTTGTTTCAAATAATAATAACATTTTTATGTATTTTATGTATTTTTTATATTCTTTAATTTCAATTATTCTATTTTTCGTTTATCGTTTTAGTAAAATTGTTAATTTAATTTGTCTTCAAATTCTTATAAATGATTATATTTATGGAAAATTACTCTTTTATTTTTGTTTATTTCTTAGATTTATTGTTTTATATTGTATTATTTCATTTTATCTTAAATATGATATTAAAAGAATTACTAAAAATGAAAAAATTGTAATCTCTTACAAGTATGAGGGTGTCCGATATGCCTTTGAATTGCGTCTGAGTAAGCTCCGCAATAATATGGGGTAACTGTGGAGTAAATAGAGAAGTAAATTTATTAGTGGATTATAAAAGTAGCGATAAACAGACTGATAAGAAAACATGAATTATAGAAAAATCTATTGTAAATTAATGAAAAGATACTACTTTTTATTTTATTTTTTAATCTTTTCCACTATTTTGCTTGTTCGTTTCTTTTAAATTATACGTGCCCTTTTTTAATCTTTTTCATCCATTCATCTTTTTAGATCATAACTGAAATAACTGCTACTATTACTACTTCTTTTGTTGGATTTCATTCATCCATTTTCAATTTTCTATTTTGCTTCATATCACTTGGTTATTCTCTTGTATATCTTGCGTAGATTTAGTGCCTTGTTAACATTAACATTACTGTTAATGTAATTGCATATTTTGCATATTTATTGTAAGTTTATTGCTTTTTTCCATAAATATAAGACATTTCTTATCAATTATTTTTCCATAGTCTTCAGTTTTTAAATTGTTAGTGAAAACTCTTAGAAGGAATTCTGTTGTCAAACTATTTTGTTTCTTTTCGTTACATAATATTCTTAAATAATTATATTTTTCTTTAAGCTCATTCGGATAAACTTCCTCCAAGAGCATACATTCAGATTGTATAATACATTCTTGGTTGTTTAGTGATTATTTAGTTTTTATATCTTTCAAATTCTGTTTAAGTCCTTCAGATTGTCTTATAAACTATTCTTTCAAATAAATGCATTTTTTATCTAATTCAATCTCTTCACATAGTTTATCTAATTCTGGAAAAATGCCACTTAAATTTTATTTGTATTTTCAAAATTTTTGCAGTATTTTTCTAGTTTTATTTTACATTGACCATTTATTGCGTTTTCTTTTAAAATTAAAGCGGAAATTCTTTCTTCACTAGATAAAAAATTTGTTAATTTTAAGTGTTTTGGTGTTATTTAAAGGTTTCATACACTATTGGAATGAATGATGTATTTTGTAACAAATTTAAGGCAACTTTTTATGAATAAATTTTAAAAAAAGCTAAATAAAATAAAAAATAAAATAAAATATCAATGTTTTCTAATAAAGAATATATTATTTTAAGAAAAATAGGTAATACAAACATTTTTATTTTATGACTAAAAAATATCGAGAAAATCATTCTTATCAAAAATATTAATAAAATAATAACAAATTAATAATCAATATATAATAAATAAGTAATATTTTATCATAAGTATTGTATTTTAGGACTCTTATTTCCTAATCTTTTTTTATTCCTCATTTTTTATATCATTATATATATATGTTATTGTTATTTCAATTTTTTTATTTTCATTTTTTAATCTAGTCTCGTTAGGCTTTTTTATAAAGTTTTTTAAAAGCTTAATTTAAATTTCTAGTATTTATATTTTATTTAAAAGTATTATATATATTTATTAATTCTTTAGGGATTTTTTGTATTAATTTTTTTGAATTAAAACATAAATTTACATTTTATATTTTATATTTTTTTAACTTTTTTATAAAATTTTTTACTTTTATAATTTAAATTATAAAAAGACTTCTTAAATAATAAAAATTGTTTTTTTTTTTTTTTTGGATCTATTTATTTTCGATTTTTAAATTTTTTATAAATTTTTTATTTTAAAACTCTTATATTTGATTATCTTTTATAAGTTTTTTTTTTTACTTTAAACTTTAAATTATTGTTTTGAATGGTTTCAAGAAAAAATTTTTTTTTATGACATCAAATATTTTTTTAAAAATATATATTTTTGTTCATTCTCTATATTTTTATTTAAAAGGTATAATATTTTTTCTTTGTTTTTAAATCAGTATATATTTATGTTATCTTGAAAATAACTTTTAATTTTTTCACTTAAGTTTTTAGTTTTTGTATATTTTTTTTTCTATTCATTCATAATTTATATTCTTTTTTTTAATTTCATTTAAAAATAAAATTATAGATTTTGTAGATTTAGAAATATTTTTTAAATAATTTTTTAAATAATAACTATTCTAATGATTAATTATTTTAGTTTAAATATTTTTGTATTTTTTTATAAATTATTTTATATTTTTGTTTTTTACAAACCAAAATTCAGAATATTGTTATAATATGGATTATTTTACTTTACAAGTTTTTAAATATACTTCTTAATCATTTTTTTAAAAGTAACTATAATTGTAGATCTTGATAAATATTTTTTAATGTTTTTTAAAATTAAAATAAGTTTTAGTATAAGCAAAATTAGAAGTAAAATTTGTAATAATAATTATTTAACATTCAAGTTTTAGGATACCTCATTATTCCGATTTTTATTAAAAATGTATTATTATTTTTTTTCTTTGAGTTAATATGAAGTAAACATAAAAGTGAGTTGATAATAAATTGATCAATAAAAAGATATAAAAGATATCCCAGACGACGAATATGAGTTAATTAAATAAAAAATATATATTTATTGTGTAAAAGTGCACTGTATATTAATATAAATAATGTCATTACTCTGTTTAGCTTTTATAATTCTATTTATTTATTTTAAATATGTACGACCTTTTTTAGAAACTAGTTATTTCATATATATAGCATTTATTAAGCTTTGCTTATTTTAAACTATAGTTGAAATAATGATGATTATCAATATTCTTTTGATCATAGTCCATCTATTTTTTTTCAATTCTTCGCTTGGCCATATCTATCCTGCATCTTCATCTCTCATTGTGCATTTTACAAGATTGCATTGTCATGTTGATGTAAATATTACTGTTGATGTGATTATAGATGTTTGTATGGATATAGTTATATTTGTTAATGTATGCGTAATCCATGTATTCATTGTGCAAATTAATGCATATTCTTCTTTCTTTATTACTATT